TGCAGTGAATTAAAAACGAACCAATGGCTCAGCAGCGGAGCTGCACGAGCCTATGGCGATGAAGCCCGCCAGAATGGGTGGGGCCATCTGGTTTTATAAGCGGGCATTTCGCCATAGGATCCTCAGAATTCTTCTCCTTCAGCGACGACGTTCTTCGCTGAAGTACGAGACTAGTTCTCTCGCCGTTGAAATGCCTTCGCAGCGGATCAAGCTGAACCAGCAACCCTCTGCTCGGCTGATTCGCCGCTTCTCCACCACCTTCAGCGTCGCAGCAGCAGCAGTCCCTGCTGATCCCCTGCCACCATCCGGCGAGCCTAAAAGAGCTTATTTCTAAGGAGGTAAGTTCAAAAAGAGCAAATTTTCTAGCGACGTTGTTGCAAATGTCGCGCTGTGAGTGTGACTTGTGCAGGGAACCCTGCACGATGCAGAAGGGCAGTGCGTGCATTGCCTGTCTGGGCAGCCCCCACACAGAGCTGCGCGCTCACTGAGACGGAATGCTCTTACTGAGAGCATGAGTCTCGCTCTTCTCCGCTCGCGGACCGCCTTTATGAAGGCAGCCTCGCTCTCTCGTTTCTCCTCTCTCAACAAAGCTCGGAGAGAGAAACAGCGGAGCCATGGGGCTGAGCAACCGGGGTTGAGCGATCGCACACCGGCACAGAACCCGCGTGCCCGCTCTCCCCGCTGCACTTTCATCCACCGCGGAAGGGCAGTGAGCTGCACCATCACTGAGACAGAATGCTCTCACTAGGCGCGTTTCCATTACCCTTCAAATTGCGCAAATTGAAATTGCGAATTGTAAACGCCTAATGGAAACGCGTAAATTTCGCAAAAACGCCCATATATCGCAAAAAAGTTTTTACGCTCGCATGAGGTGGTTTTTCAGTCAATGCGAAAAAGGAATAATTTGCAAAACTGCAATGGAAAGTTTTTTTCGCATTTACAGGTCACATGGCGTATGTAAAAAATCAATCTTCAATGTACTATAACCTCCAAGAAACACTTCATACGTGGCCGCTCTCCAGTATAAGGGGCTTTCCCTACCATTAATGCTTAGACAATTACACTGCACACGTCTGCGGTGCAGTGTGGCTCTGATATGGCTGATTGCGGCCACTCTAACGTTAGTCAATGCTTGTGTTTATTCCAGCCGCGCCACACACGTTTCTGAAGCGGCTCTCTGTGCTGCTTCTGTAAAGATACACGCATATGCCTCTGAATAAATATAGCCAAAATCCGTCAAATTCCCACCAAAATCCATTGCCATGACTTATCGCGAGAGGCAAAAGGTTACGTTTTAGTTGCATAACATTGGTTAATGGAAACGCCGTCATTTCGCAATACTTTTTTATCGACATTTATAAAATATCGCCAAAGTTTTGCGCAAATCTGTAATGGAAACGC